ATTCAACATCTGCTCATGATTAAAACTCTCAACAAAATGTGTTCAGAGGAATCATACCTTAACATAATAAAGGCCACATATGAAAAACCTGCACCTAACATCATACTCAATGGTGAAAAACTGAGAGCTTTTCCTTAAAGATCAGAAACAAGACAGGGATGTCCACTTTTACCACTTTTATTCAACATAGTACTGAAAGTCTTAGCCACAGCTGACAAGAAAAAGAAGTAAGAAGCATCCATACTGGTAAGGAAGAAGTAAATCTTTCACTATTTGTAGATAACATACTATACATAGAAAGCCCTATAGACTCCATAAAAAACAATTGGAAGTAATAAATGAATTCAGTAAAGTCACAGGATACAAAATCAAAGTGCAGAAATCTGTTGCATTCCTATAAACTAATACTGAAGCAGCAGAAAGTGAAATTAAGAAAACAATCCCGTTTTCATTGTGCCAAAAAGAACAAAATTCCTACAAATAAACTTAACTAAGGAGGTGAAAGACCTGTACTCTGAAAACGATAAAACACTGAAGAAAGAAACTGAAGACAACACAAACAAATGGAAACATATACCATGCTTATGGATTGGAAGACTTAATATTTTTAAAATGTTTGTGCTACCCAAAGCAATCTACAGATATAATGCAATCCCTTTAAAAAAACAACATTTTTCACAGACCTAGAACAAATAATCCTAAAATATTTATGGAACCACTGAAGACCCCAAATAGCCAAAACAATCTTGAGAAAGAAAAATTTGTAGGTATCACATTTCCAAATTTCAAGATACATTACATAGTACATAATCAATACATTATGGTACTGGCACAAAAACAGACACATATGTCAATGGAAAAAAATAGACCAGAAAGGAACCTACACTTACATGGTCAATTAGTCTATTACAAAGGAGGCAAGAATATATAAAGGGAACAGGTAGTCTCTTCCACAAATCGTATTGGGAAAACTGGACAGCAACACACAAAGAATGAAACTAGACCACTTTCTTACACCATACACAAAAATAAGCTCAAAATGGATTAAAAACCTAAATGTGAGACCTGAAACTGTAAAAATCCTAGAAAAAGACACAGGCAGTAATTTCTCTGACATTGGCCACAGCAAATTTTTCAAGATATGTCTCCTAAAGCATGGGAAAGAAAAGCAAAAATAAGCTATAACAAGCTTTTGCACAGCAAATGAAACCATCAACAAAACAAAAAGGCAACCTACTGAATGGGAAAAGATATTTGCAAATGATATATCTGATAAGGGGTTAATATCCATAATATATAAAGAACTTATACAACTCAACACCAAAACCCCAGCAATTTGCTTAAAACAGGATCAGAGGACCTTCTTTTTCCAAAGAAGACAGATAGATGACCAATAGGCACATGAAAAGATGCTCAACATCATTAATCATCAGGGAAATGCAAATCAAAGCCACCATAAGATATCACTTTATACCTATCAGAATGCTAAAATACAAAAATCAAGATATAACAAGTGTTGACAAGGATGTGGAGAAAAAGGAACCCTCATGTATTGTTGATGGGGATGTAAATTGGTATAGCCACTGTGGAAATCAGCATAAAGTTTCCATAAAAAATTAAAAATAGAATTATCATATGACCCAATAATTCCACTAGTGAGTACTTACACAACAAAACAAAAATACTAATTTGAAATGATATGTGCACCCTTATGTTTATTGCAGCATTATTTAGCAAGATATGGAAGCAACATAAGTGTCCATCAATAAGAGAAACAGATAAGGAAGAAGTGATATATAATGGAATATTACTCAGCCATAAAAAGATCAGATTTTGCCATTTGCGACAATTGTAAGGAACTAGAGGGTATTATGCAAAGTGAAACAAGTCAGACCAAGAAAGAAAAATACCATTTGATTTCATTCATATATGGAACCTAAACAAGAACAACAAAAAATAAACAAAATGCAGAATCAGACTTATAAATACAGAGAACAAACCAATGGTTGCCAGAAAGGAGGCAGCTGGGAGATAGGCAAAATGGGTGAAGGGATGTGGGAGATATAAGCTTCTAGTTATGGAATGAATAAGTCACAGGAATAAAAGGCACAGCATCAGGAATATAGTCAGTGATATTGTAATAATGTTGCGTGGTGACTGGTGGGAGCTACACTTGTGGTGAATGTAGCATAACATATAGAGAAGTTGAATCACTGCATTATACACCTGAAACTAATGTAACATTGTGTGTCAACTACACTCAAATAAAAGCACTGGGTGCTATATGTAAGTATGAATTACTAAATTCTACTCCTAAAACTAGTATTACATTATATGTTAACTAACTAGAATTTAAATAAAAACTTGAAACAAAGAAAAAGAAAAAGAAAACAAGTCTATTTACAGTAACATCAAAACCAATTCTATTACAGGAACATCAAAGAATATAATACTTAGAAATAAATTTAACAAAAAAGAAGTGTAAGCCTTGTGCAATGAAAGTACAAAATACTGTTTTTAGAAATTAAAGAGGATCTAGGGCGCCTGGGTGGCTCAGTCGTTAAGCGTCTGCCTTCGGCTCAGGTCATGATCCCAGGGTCCTGGGATCGAGTCCCACATCGGGCTCCCTGCTCGGTGGGAGGCCTGCTTCTCCCTCTCCCACTCCCCCTGCTTGTGTTCCTGTTCTCGCTGTCTCTCTCTGTCATATAAATAAATAAAATCTTTAAAAAAAAAAAAGAAATTAAAGAGGATCTAAATGGAAAAGGATCCCATGCTCAAGGATTAAAAGACTTAATATTGTTAGCATGGCAATAATACCCAAAGTTTTTTACATATTTAATGAAATCCCTTGACAAGCTTATCCCAAAATACATATAGAAGAGCAAAGGACCAAAAATAGCTAAAGCAATCTTGAAAAGAAGAAGTTTAAAAACTCACACTCCTGGTGTCAAAATGTAACTAAAAAGCTACAATAATTAAGACAGTGTGGTACTTGCATGAAGACAGACAAATAGATCAATGGAGTAAAACAGAGAATCTACAAATTTACCCTTACATTTATGGTCTTTTGATTATCAATAAGGATGCCAAGTTAATTCAATGGGTGAAAGAATAGCATATTCGACAAAAGATACTGGGACAACCAGATAGCCCCGTGCACAAGAATGAACTTGGACTCCTATTTCACACAATAGAAAAAATTAACTCAAAACGGTTCATGGATCTAAATGTAATAGGTAAAACTATAAAACTCTTAGGAGAGGGACGCCTGGGTGGCTCAGTCGGTTAAGCATCTGCCTTTGGCTCAGGTCATGATCCCAGGGTCCTGGGATCGAGTCCCACATCCTGCTTCTCCCTCTGCCTGCTCTGCCTGCTGCTTCCCCTGCTTATGCTCTCTCTCTCTCTCTGATAAATAAATAAATAAATAAATAAATAAATAAATAAATAAATAAAATCTTAAAAAAAATAAATAAAACTCTTAGGAGAATACAGGGGTGCAAATTTTCATGACCTTGGATTAGACAATGAATTCTTAATATGATACCAAAAACACAAGTAAGAAAAGAAAAAATAGGTTAATTGGACTTCCTCAAATTTAAAAACTTGTGCTGCAAATGATACTATTAAGATAGTAAAAAGACAACCCATAGAATGGAAGAAAATATTTGCAAAATCATTTATCTGATAAGGGACTTCTATCCAGAATATATAAATATCTCTTACAATTTAGCAGTAAAAAAGCAAATAATCTAATTTAAAAATGGACAAAGAATTTTTACAGTCATTTCTCCAAAGAAGATCTATAAATGGCCAATAAGCATATGAAAAAATACTAAATATTAATTATTAGAGAAATACAAATGAAAACCACAGTAAGAGGCCACCTCCCACCCTTAGAATGGCTATAATCTAAGAGATGACCAGTAACAAATGTTGGGGAGGATGGAGAGAATTTGGAACCCTCAATACACTGCTGGTGGGAATGTCAAATTGTGTAGCTGCTTTGGAAAACAGTTTAGCAGCTCCTCAAAAAGTTAAACAGAGTTACCATGTAACCCAGCAATCCCACTCCTAGTTGTATACATAAAATGTTGTATATCCATGAAATGTAATATTATTTAGTAACAATAAGCAATGAAGTACTGACACAAACTAAAACATGGATGAATCTTTTTTTTTTTAAAGATTTTATTTATTTATTTGAGAGAGTGAGAATGAGAGAGAGAGAGCGCATATGAGAGGGAGGAGGGTCAGAGGGAGAAGCAGACTCCCTGCTGAGCAGAAAGCCCGATGCAGGACCCAATCCTGGGACTCCAGGATCATGACCTGAGCCGAAGGCAGTCGCTTAACCAACTGAGCCACCCAGGCGCCCAAACATGGATGAATCTTGAAAACATTATGCAAAGTGAAAGAATCCAGTCATGAAAGACCACATTTTTATTCCATTTATATGAAATATCCAAAATAGACTTTTGCTGAAACTATTTCCAAAGAGTCACTTTCTATTTCATTTTGCTAAATTGCTGGGATGTCAGCTGTGGTCAAATTGCTATTATAAGGGGAGATGCCTAAGAATGATGTCTACATAGGAAAGAGCAGAGCTAAGAGATAAAGAAGGACATATTTCTGAAGACATATTTTGAGCACACAAATCCATCTGGACACCAAGCAATCCCAACTAAGTGAATTAACTAATTCCCAGTTTAAATTGGGTTTCTGGCATGTGCAACTGAAAGAATCTTGACTCAAATGGTTGGTTAAACAACAAATTGTTTTTCACTTACATCATATTTGATACATTGTAAATATAGGAAAGATGTGCTACAGAATTTTATTTTCCATAACAGCTATGTCTTTGTGTAAATATTCATTCTTCATTAGATTTACTGCCCTGCAGAAAACAAACTCTGTCTAGGGTTATATATATCAATTAAACATGCTATAACTTGGATTAAATAATAGCTAAAGTCATATTCAAATTTCATTTAAAAATACATTACTTTTTAGTGGTAATAGTAGTCCTTCCACCACTGGAGTGTTGGTTATGAGATGAATACATTTCTTGCCTCAACTTTGAGAGTTCCTTACAAATAAAAGACAATACAATTATTTGAAAACAGTAGAAACATGAGGTAAGAAGTATGTTCGATCATTTAACAAGGTTACTAAGAACAATTACTTTTTTCCTTCTCTTTTAGCTTGGACATGAGTTAGAACCCCACAACCCCACCTGTTGAATACCATATATTATTGCTTTATGGTACCTAATAAGTTATATAATATGCCTGTTCAGGAATTCACTAAATGGTATAGGATTTCTATATTTAAGAGATAACATGATATTGAATGGGCATGTTTCTCAAGATAAAGATGAGAATTTTTTTGTCCTAAGAAGCTTGAAAAGTATAGTCATAGCTGAAAAGTACTGAAACTTCAATATGGAAGCAGGTATTGGTTCCTAACAGAAGGTCTATCACTGATCATTACTACAAGCACCATTAGTTCAATAACAGCGATATAACATTAGCCACCATTTTTGGTAGTTCCTTCTTTCAGTGCTATTTTATAACAGATCCTGGGCCATGTGCTACAGATACAGAGAGGAATATAACACAGTCCTTTGCTGAAGCAGCTAATAGTAAAGAGTAAAAAGCTCACAGTCTTACTGGGAGTATCATTGCTAATGAGATATAGCATTAAAAATATTAAATGCACAATAACACAATTTTTTGTTTCAATTCTTGCTTTCATTTGAATTATATCTCCTAAAATATGAATCTTTCACTTCTTCACAGTCAGTTACATTCTACTTCATGAATAAAGTGAGTTTTGGGAATGTGCTCTTCTCTAGTTCATGGGAAGTATTTATCATACTTAACTGAGTTCCTCTCTACCTCTGCCACTTCCCTTCTTACCTCTGACTGATGGTTTATAAGGGAATCCTTCTCTTCCAGCAAGCTTGTCAGTTCATGAAGCTTGAACTGGAAGTCACTGCAACTTCCTTCTCTTCTTGAAACATCTTTTTGGTACTGATTTAATTGAGTCTAGTGATTTAAAAGAAAGAAGAATTATAAATCTAATTTATGAAATAGGTAATTGAGTTCCAAGAGGTTCAGTGACATAAAGTCATATTACAAGTTACGAAATGAAGAGTAAAGTACCAATAGTTGTAAACATTTGTAGAGTTTAATGAATGTAAAATATGAATAAAATGCCAATTAGGCATTTCTCATTTTTTAAAGATATCTTTTACTATTTAGGGCTAAGCATTACTTAAGTAACAATCCTAAACCACAAGAATTAAAATAAAGCTAAGAAAATAGGTACTTTAGAATTCCTTCAAATACTAATTAAAGAAAACTCACTAATAATAACTAATATTATATTGTGATTTGCAGTTCACAAAATATTCCTCCTGCATGATTTATCTCAATTCTCACAGCAGGCCTGTGAAATAAGTATTATTAAAATCCTTATTTACAAAATAGGTAAATGAGATTACCAGAGAGGTTACATGACATACAGTCCCACAACTAGTAAGCAACATAGCTGCAAATCCAAGACAGATATTCTGACTCCAAATCCTCCCCATTTTCCTCTATACTATGTTAGCTGTGCATAGATGGCTGTTAAGTTAAAATGTTATATGTAGTGTCGGGATGAAAAGGAAACAAGAGAAGGAAATCTGCAAGAAAAAAATGGTAGGCTTTTGAAAAAATTATATTTTGTTTCATTCTGGTTTTTGGAAAAAATTCCACCATGATATTTGGAGAGAAAAATCTATGGTTGGTTTTTCCATTAAATATTTAAGTATATTTAACTATATTTAGGAATCAGTAAATTAAGAGTTAGTCAATTTGATCTAGAATTACAAGATAAGGCAATGCATACTTATTCTCACAAATATCACCCTTATTTTGATTAACCTAAATTAGAAAACAATTTAGCAATATTCTCTACACAGTAATATGTATTTAAACAAAAGTTTCTGTGTCATATTCCTGACTCTGCCTTTAGTTGATTTTTCCTTGTAGCTTTAAACTTGAAACCATCATTATCTTATTAGAAAGTTTGTGCTGACCTGTGTATTTATGCACTGTAGGATCAACATACCCTTAGCTTGCAGATCTCTCTATCTTTCTCCATTCTTAAGTTTTTTACCATCTCCATGTAATGGTTGCCAATCTCATCCATTTTCATCTGCAGCATCGGGCCTGTGCAAGTCTCAGAAACCTACACAAGGCAAAATAAATTTATGTAATTGGATTGTTATGAAGGAAATACATATTTTATTATCAGACTTATTATTAGATGAAAGCTACATGATTAAATGAGGCATTGAAATAATAAGAGCGATTTTTAGGAATTGCACTATATAGCTCAAATGTCAGTGAGATGAGACATAACTACATATAAGATCATCAGAAAGCAGTCCATATATTTTCTCAAGAGGAATAGGACATATATATACTATACAATGGTATAACTAAGGCAATAACAAATTTAAAACAAAATTTTAATACCTGTATTCTAAGATTTTTATTCTCTTGTTCTAAATTACGCTTGCAGTATTCCAGTTCTTTGAGTCTATATTCCATGTCTGATAGTGTATGTCGAAGAGAGAGATTGTTTTCTTCCAATACTTGGCATTTTGAGGTTGAGTCTTGAAGTCCTTGCTATAAAGAAGACACAAGTAAGTAAGACAAAGGGATTCTACCTTTTTGGAGGAGAGTGCTCTTTTAGTTGATTAATTCAAGGAAATAAAGTAAATATTTTTTCCATGCCCAGTTTTCTTATATATTTACCCTTAAATGGTAAGTTAAATCAGCCGTGAAAGAGATTCTTGCCCCTAGTCTGATATGCTTATCTTGAGTGAGAAGGGGTCAAGACTGGATGAATTTTCAGTGTTCCAATTTTGCAATCTGACTCTCGGTACTCTTCAACAATATTTCGCCTTCCAGTAGGCACCAATATGACCATATGCCTGATTATTTATGTGGAAACTGAGGAAAAAATTGGGACTGTCATGGAAATGAAGATTAGGAAGGGATCAGCCTTAGAGGCTCATTATAATTTCTTAGAAATCATCTCTGCTCAGATATCTGGAGAGTATTTCTAGAGTTAATTTGTTTATTCACTGCACAAACGTGTGTTAAGACCTACAAAACCTTTTTTATCAACACTTTAGTAGATTAAATGAATGAGTGAACTTAGCTTTTCAATATTTACACAGTTCTTGTCACCCAACAGCACAGATAATTGTTGATTAGTATACTTTAAAGTATACAAGGTTAAAAAATAAAATAAAATAAATAAAGTATATAAGGTTATCTGTTTTTATGAGAGAGCTTTCAGTCATTGGAAATAATCAAAGCCACTCAATTCTTATATGAATAAATTGTTCCATCATATTTTAATTCTGTCTTGATTGTATGTCATAACTACAGTGTGTCAGTAATTCTGCATATGAAAAGCTATCAATCTAGTTTATCATCAATGAAGATATCAACTTACCTGCTGCTGGCGATTATTTGCTCTCACTGATGCCAAGAGTTCTTCATACTCTTTTATTTGATTTTCTTTGAATTCCACATCTTTCTCAAGGCTTATCTTGTCATTTTCCAGTGACTAGAAGCAAAATTACTTGTTAAGATTCGGAATTACAGAAACTTGTCAACAGCTACATAGTACAAGGCTAGTTTACATTGGAAGGCTTAAATAAGTACTTCATTCATTTGCAGTTGCCTGATAAAACAGAATTCTAAAATGCCAAGCAAAATATAGGATACAAATGGATGAAACTTTAAAAACCTGAAATCTTAGAGAACTTTTGATGAATTGACTAATTATAAATTCAATAAAACAGAACCTTCAAATTATTTTAATGTTTTGTCTAAATCTACAAAGACTCCTTGTTAACCCCAGCAGGTGGTGAATTTCCAAATTAGAGTCTAAATGTGTTCATCAGAACCCAGAAAACTAAAACTCCGGTTTTCAGGGAGTTATTCATTATATGGAGGGTATTCTGAATGTAGTTAGCTAATGACATCAAAAACACTAACTAAAATGGAAAATAGAAAAGGCTAACTTCTTGGAGAAGGAAGTTTACAAGTATTCAAAAAAATTCAGAGTATGCTTTATTATTACAGAAAAAGGGGAAATTCCCATTCAATGAGTTAGAGTATTCTAATTTTGCAAGCTACTTCCTGGCTATAGGTATTAAATTACCTTAGTGGTAAACTAAATAATAAGTGCATACCCAATGTTCTTTTATTTTGACATTGGAGAGTTCTTATATCCTCTTTCAACCTCAATTAATTGTTTCAAGAAAATAAGTATGTCTGGGTAAGCATAGTATTGTTGCATTGTATTAAGTTTTGAAAGGTGGACTGAATAACTTCATTTCTATGTTAGGAACTAGGAAGGCTTTGGAAAGAAAAATCAAAATAAGTGTTACTGTCAAGTCATTTTGAAGATGTCCAAGCTCCTCCCGTAAGTTGCTGAATGTGGACAGCACTAGCCGGAGTGATTTATCAGACATACCCCTCATCTGGAGAAAGAAAAGGATTGATGGTTTTTATTTACTAGCATTTACAAATGGACAATATAAGTGATAGTAGTCTTATTTTTCTTTTCTCATAAGCAAACTTATTAACAGTTTTATTTTTTATATAGCATTACTAGAATAGTGATACAAGGAGTTTTGTCAGTAACATGCATAAGTAATTCAATCAGTATTCCTGAAGACATCATAGCTATGTGATTAGAACAAGAGTCTATTATTTTTTTTCCATGATGAAGTATCATCTTTCTCATAAGACAGAACTCTATCAGCAAATTCTTAAATTTGCTTTTATTTTTTATTTAAAAATTAGAAAAGATGAGGCAGTCAAACTTCAAAAAACAAAATGAACATCTTTAAGTATGCTACAAAATGTATGGATTTTTCCTGAAGTGAGAAGAATATAATACTAATTAAGTTTAACCTTGAAGTATAGAAACATCTCAAATTTTAAAGAGGAGGGTGGAAATCCCTTTTACTAGATTAAACTCACTTATTTAAAAAATTGTTAAAAAAACAGGCAACTTCATTTCCGGAAAGATGTAGTAGAAATACTTTCTCCTATTCCTTCTAAGTATAACTGAAAGCCCTGGACATTACTATGTATAAAACTAACATGAAAAGACTCAGAAAGGTGGAAAGAAGAAGGAAGTCTGGTTAGGAACATTGCAACTACCAAAGTGACACAGAAGTGAGTTCCTGGGTTTTCTTTTTGCTTCATGTATCACAGACTGGTGTTGGAGAAGTCAGTAACCCAGAAACACCACTGGATACAGACAACAGAAGTTTTTAGAAAAGCCTGCTCTCTCTAGCCAAAGGACCATGAAAAGAGCAGCCTAGCAAGGCAGAGAACTTTTAGATAATAACCACTCTATTCCAACCAAACACCACAGAGAATAACCTTCAACTTTATACTTCTACCCAAACCATCAAAGGCCAAGAGGGAACCTAAACTTTCTCCCTCACCAGGCTCTAAAAAGATCCACCAACACCACTTACCAGGTTGGTGTTAGAGAAGGCAGGGTGGAGAGATGGGATTTTCATCCCCACCAGGAAAAAAATGAGACCCCAAGCACTGTGGTTTAGTTGAGAATATGAAAGGAGCCTAGGCTTTCACCTTATCCAGCAGTAATAATATACTGTTCCGTCTCCCTGCTGGGGTGATGTCAGAGTTTTCTTAATGAAGAGTCAAGACTTTCATCGCTGCCCAACAGAAATGAGGCCACTCACCTTGCAATGTCAGTGAAGGCCAACTCGGGTACAGTAATAAGGCACCCCTCTACATCCAAACCAGGGTGAAATCAGTGGGGCCCTCGTACAGAACCACAATTTCTACCCTTGCCCAGGAGGAACAAGGAGCTCCTTCCCTGACTGGTGTCAACTCAGAGGCTGAGTGGGGAACCTGGAATTCCACCCCCAGCTGGCAGTAACAGGCAGTGCCCCATGTCCTCTGTTGTTTCAGTATCAAAGGAGGCCTACTAAAACAGAAGATTTGAATAAGATTCAGTCATAACATAATACTCAAAATGTCCAGGTTTCAATTTCTAAAAAATCTCTAGTCATTCTAAGAACCAGGAAAATCTTACCTTGATAAGAAAAACAATTAACAGATGTCAACATCAAGATAACAGAAATGTTAGAATAGTCTGACAAGGATTTTACAGCAGCCATCATAACCATACTTCAATAAAAATTTAAAAAACAGACTTAATAGAAAGTCTCAGCAACAAAACAGAAAATCTCAGGAAAGAAATAGAATATGTAAAGAATAACTAAATAGAAATTCTAAAATTGTAAAGCTCAATAGCTAAAACAAAAACAAAAACAAAAACTTCAATGGATGGACTAAAAAGCAAAATGGAAAGAACAGAGTGAAGAATCAATAAACTTGAAGATAGAACAATAAGAAAGTACTTTATCAGAACATCAGAGAGAAAATAGATTGGAAAATAATTGAACAGAGCCTCAGAGACCTGTGAGAGTATAAGGCATATCTAACATGCATGTCATAGAAGTCCTAGAAGGAAAGAAGAAAGAGGATGAAACTGAAAAAGTATTTGAAGAAATAATGGCTGTAAACTTCCCCAAATTAGCAAAAAATGTAACTATAGATTCAAGAAGTTGAGGAAATCTTGAACAGGATAAACCCAAAGAAATCTATGCCCAGACAATCAGTCAAACTTCTTAAAACTAAAGATAAATTTTAAATTTTAAATCTTGAAAGCAACAAGAGAAATCTTAACTATTGGTAATAACAATTCAAATGACAGCATATTTTTCATCAGAAATCTTAATGGCCAGAGGGACATAGCACACCATTTTTAAGTGTTGAAAGAAAAGAATTGTCAACTACAAATTCTGTATCTAATGAAAATATCCTTTAGTAATGAAGGGGAAATCAAGACATTACCAGATGAAGAAAACTGAAAAAAAAAAAATTGTCACTACAGACCTACCCTAAAAATTGGGTGAAGGAAGTTCTCTGAAGAGAGAGAAAATTATAAAGGAAGGAATCTGGAGCATCAAGAAGAAATAGCATCATAAGTAATAATATGCAAAAACAGGGTAGGTTTTCTTTCTCTTGCATTTTCTAAATTATATTTGATGGTTGAAGCAAAAAATTATAACAGTGGATCTCAATGCACAAAGAGGAAATATTTAAGACAATTACGTTATAGATGTGAGAGTAAAGAGTGATAAAGGAAGCAAAATTTTCTACATTTCACTGAAACTGACAAAATGTTGACACCAATACACTGAGATAAATTATGGATATATAATGTAATTCTTAGAACAACCACTAAAAAGGCTATACTAACAGATACACTCAAAAGTACTAGAGGTAAATAAAAGTGCAATTCTAAAAACATTTTCAACTAATCCACAGGAAACAAAAAACAGAACAGAAAACAAACAAACAAAAATAGCCTAGCTATTTTTAGCTAGCCCTACCTATCAAATAATTACTACTTGGTCTAAATGCACCAATTAAAAACAGAGATTTGTGGGGCACCTGGGTGGCTCAGTCATTAAGTGTCTGCCTTCAGCTCAGGTCATGATCCCAGGGTCCTGGGATCGAGCCATATATGGGCTCCTTGCTCAGCGGGAGGCCGGTTTCTCCCTCTCCCCCTCCCCCTGCTTGTGGTTCCTCTCTCGCTGTGTCTCTGTCAAAAAACAAAACAAAACAAAACAAAAAACCCAGAGATTTGCAGAGTAAGAAAAAAAACTTGATCCAACTACATGTTTTCTATAAGAAGCTAATTTCAAATATAGTGAAAATGTAAAAATATATAATGAAAGTAATGTTTCTAGGAAGAAGTTGCTGCAGCTGAGGTCGAAGAGGTTGCTGCCTGTGTTCTCCTTCAGGATTTTGATGGATTCCTGTCTCACATTTAGGTCTTTCATCCGTTTTTAGTCTATATTTTAGTGTGGTGTAAGGAAAGGGTCCAGTTTCATTCTTCTGCATATGGCTGTCCAATTTTCCCAACACCATTTGTTGAAGAGACTGTCTTTTTACCATTGGACATTCTCTCCTGCTTTGTCGAAGATTAGTTGACCATAGAGTTGAGGGTCCATTTCTGGGCTCGCTATTCTCTTCCATTGATCCATGTGTCTGTTTTTGTGCCAGTATCCTCCTGTCTTTATGATTACAGCTTTGTAATAGAGCTTGAAGTCTGGAATTGTGATGCCACCAGCTTTGCTTTTCTTTTTCAACATTCCACTGGCTATTTGGGGTCTCTTCTGGTTCCATATACATTTTAGGATTATTTGTTCCATTTCTTTGAAAAAAGTTGATGGTATTTTGATAGGGATGGCATTATGCGTGTAGATTGCTCTAGGTAGCATTGACATTTTCACGAAATTTGTTCTTCCAATCCATGAGCACGGAATGCTTTTCCGTTTTGTTGTGTCTTCCTCTATTTCTTTAATGAGTATTCTACAGTTTTCTGAGTACAGATTCTTTGCCTCTTTGGTTAGATTTATTCAAAGGTATCTTATGATTTTGGGTGCAATTGTAAGTGGGATCGACTCCTTAATTTCTCTGTCTTCTGTCTTGTTGGTGTATAAAAATGCAACTAATTTCTGTGCATTGATTTAATATCCTGCCACTTTTCTGAATTCCTGTATGAGTTCTAGCAGTTTTGGGGTGGAGTCTTTTGGGTTTTTCCACATAAAGTATCATATCATCTGCAAAGAGTGAGAGTTTGACTTCTTCTTTGCTGATTTGGATGACTTTTATTTCTTTTTGTTTTCTGATTGCTGTGGCTAGGACTTCTATGTTGAATAGCAGTGGTGATAGTGGACATCCTGCCATGTTCCTGACCTTAGGGGAAAAGCTCTCAGTTTTTCCCCCAATGAGAATGATATTCGTTGTGGGTTTTTCACAGATGGCTTTTATGATATTGAAGTATGTACCCTCTATCCCTACACTCTGAAGAGTTTTAATCAAGAAAGGATTCTGTACTTTTTTTTTTTTTTTAGATTTTATTTATTTATTTGACAGAGAGAGACACAGCGAAGAGAGGGAACACAAGCAGGGGGAGTGGGAGAGAGAGAGAAGCAGGCTTCCTGCGGAGCAGGGAGCCCGATGCGGGGTTCGATCCCAGGACCCTGGGATCATGACCTGAGCCGAAGGCAGATGCTTAACGACTGAGCCACCCAGGTGCCCCAGGATTCTGTACTTTGCCAAATGTTTTTACTGCATCTATTGAGAATATCATATGGTTCTTGTTCTTTCTTTTATTAATGTAGTGTATCACATTGATTTGCAGATGTTGAACCAACCTTGCAGCCCAGGAATTAATCCCACTTGGTCGTGGTGAATAATCCTCTTAATGTACTGTTGGATCCTATTGGCTAGTATTTTGGTGAGAATTTTTGCATCCATGTTCATCAGGGATATTGGTGTGTAGTTCTCCTTTTTGATGGGGTCTTTGTCTGGTTTTGGGATCAAGGTAATGGTGGCCTCATAAAACAAGTTTGGAAGTTTTCCTTCCATTCCTATTTTTTGGAACAGTTTCAGAAGAATAGGTATTAATTCTTCTTTAAATGTTTGATACAATTCCCCTGGGAAGCCATCTGGCTCTGGGCTCTTGTTTGTTGGGAGATGTTTGATTATTACTTCAATTTCCTTACTGGTTATGGGTCTGTTCAGGTTTTCTATTTCTTCCTGGTTCAGTTTTGGTAGTTTATACTTCTCTAGGAATGCATCCATTTCTTCCAGATTGTCTAATTTACTGGCATATAGTTACTGGTAATAATTTTTAATAATTGCTTCTATTTCCTTGGTGTTAGCCGTGATCTCTCCTATTTCATTCATACTTTTATTAATTTGGGTCCTTTCTCTTTTCTTTTTGATAAGTCTGGCCAGGGGTTTATCAGTCTTATTAATTCTTTCAAAGAACCAGCTCCTCCTTTTGTTGATCTGTTCAACTGTTCTTTTGGTTTCTATTTCATTGATTTCTGCTCTGATCTTTATTATTTCTCTTCTCCTGTTGGGTTTAGGCTTTATTTGCTGTTCTTTCTCCAGCTCCTTTAGATGTAGGGTTAGGTTGTGTATTTGAGACCTTTCTTGTCTCTTGAGAAAGACTTCTATTGTTATATACTTTCCTCTTAGGATCGCCTTTGCTGCATCCCAAAGATTTTGAACAGTTGTGTTTTCATTTTCATTGGTTTCCATGAATTTTTTAAACTCTTTAATTTTCTGGTTGACCCATCCATTCTTTAGTAGGATGCTATTCAGCCTCCATGTATTTGAGTTCTTTCCAACTTTCTTCTTGTGATTGAGTTCTACTTTCAAAGCATTGTGGTCTGAAAATATGCAGGGAATGATCGCAATTTTTTGGTACCAATTGAGACCTGATTTGTGACCTAGGTTGTGATCTATTCTGGAGAATGTTCCAAGTGCACCAGAGAAGAATGTTTATTCTGTTGCTTTGGGATGGAATGTTCTGAATATATCTGTGAAGTCCATTTGGTCCAGTGTGTCATTTAAAATCTTAATTTCCTTGTTGATTTTTTGCTTAGATGATCTGTCCATTTCAGTAAGGGGGCTGTTAAAGTCGCCCACTATTATTGTATTGTTGTCGATGTGTTTCTTTGCTTTTGTTATTAATTGGCTTATATAATTGGTTGCTCCCAGGTTAGGGGCATAGATATTGAAAATTGTTAGATTTTATTATTGGATAGTCCATCACCAAAGGCAAGGGAAGCAAGGGTAAAAATGAACCATTGGACTTCATTAAGATAAAAGCTTTTTAACAGCAAAGGAAACAGTCAACAAAACCAAAAGACATCCTACAGAATAGGAGAAGATATTTGCAAATGTTTTATCAGATATAGGGCTAGTATCCAAAATCTATAAAGAACTTATCAAACTCAACACCCAAAGGACAAATAATCCAATCAAGAAATGTGCAGAAGACATGAACAGACACTTCTGCCAAGAAGACATACAAATGGCCAATAGACACATGAAAAAGTGTTCAACATCTCTCAGTCTCAGGGAAATACAAATCAAAACCTCAATGAGATAGCCCCTCACACTAGTCAGAATGGTTAAAATTAACAAGTCAGGAAAGGACAGATGTTGGCGGGGATGCGGAGAATGGGGAACCCTCCTACACTGTTGGTGAGAATGAAAGCTGGTGTAGCCACTCTGGAAAACAGAATGAAGGTTCCTCAAAAAGTTGAAAATAGAGCTACCTTATAACCCAGCAATTGCACTACTGGGTATTTACCCCAAAGTTACAAATGTAGTGATCCAAAGGGGCACATGCACCCCAATGTTTATAGTAGTAATGTCCACAATACCCAAACTATGCAAAGAGCCTAGATGTCCATCAACAGAGGAATGGATAAAGAAGATGTGGTACATATATACAATGGAATATTATGCAGCCATCAAAAATGAAATTTTGCCATTTGCAATGATGTGGATGGAACTAGAGGGTATTACACTAAACAAAATAAGTCAATAGAGAAAGACAATTATCATAAGATATCACTGATATGTGGAATTTGAGAAACAAGACAGAGGATCATAGGGGAAGGGAGGGAAAAATGAAACAAGATGAAACCAGAGAGGGAGACAAACCATAAGAGACTCTTAATCTCAGTAAACAAACAAGGTTGCTAGAGTGGAGGGGGCTGGGAGGGCTGGGGTGGATGGGTGATGGACATTGGAGAGGATATGTACTATGGTGAGCACTGTGAATTGTGTAAGACTGATGAATCACAGATCTGTACCCCTTAAACAAATAATACATTATATGTTGATAATATGTATATACATATATTATATATTATATATTAAAAGTAAAATGTTGGGGGGAAAAGATATACCAGGCAAACATGAATAAAAGAAAACAAGAGTGTTATATTGTTATTAGATAAAAATGACTTTTTTAAAAGATTTTATTATGTATTTGACAGAGATAGATACAGTGAGAGCAGGAACACAAGCACGGGGAGCAGGAGAGGGAGAAACAGACTTCCCACAGAGCAGGAAACCTGATGCTGGGCTCGACCCCAGGACCCTGGGATCATGACCTGAGCTGAAGGCAGATGCTTAACGACTGAACCACCCAGGCACCCCTAGATAAAAATGTCTTTAGAGCAAAGAAAATTACCAAGGATAAAGAGGAACCATTATATAATGATAGAAGGGTCATTTCACCAAGAAGACACAGCAATCTAAACTTTTATGCACCAAACAGTAGAGCTACAAAATGTATAGAAATGCAAAAACTGATAGAACTGAAAGGAAAAAACGACAAGTCCACTGTTATAACTGAAGATTTGTATATGCCTCTCTCAGCAACTGATAAGAACTACTTGGCAGAAAATGAACAAGAATATAAAAGAACTCAACAACCCCATCAACCAAAGTGTCTAATCCTTTCTTTTACCCATGGAAGATACACCGATATAGACCATAATCTTGACCATAAAACAAAACTTTACCATTTCAAAAAAATTGATCTAATATGAAGTATATTCTCTTGCCACAGTGGAATCAAACTATGTATCAGTACTAGAAAGACAACAGGAAAATCTCTAAACACTCTGAAACTAAATAATATGCTTCTAAATAATCCACAGGTAAAAGCAGAGGTCTAAAGGGAGCTAAAAAGTATATAGAATTGAAAGAAAATGAAAATCATATCATAATTTTTTGGGCACAACCAAAGCCATGCTGAGAGGATATTTATAGCACTAAATGCTTACATTAGAAAATAGAAAATATCTCAAATCTATACTCTAACTTTCTATATCAAGAAACCAGACAAAGAAGAGAACAACATATCAAAAGCAAGCAAAGGAAGGAAATAATACAGACAAGGGCAAAAATTAGTGGAAGTGTAAACAGGAAAATAATAGAGAAGATCAATAAAACTGAAGTCTTGTTCTTTGAAAAAAAAATTGATAAAATTGAGAAGCCTCCAGCAAGGCTGACAAAGAATAAAGTAGACACAAATGACTAGTACTAAGAATTAAATAGGGGATAGTAATACAAATGCTGCAGACATAAAAAAGATAATAAGGGAATACTATGAACAACTATACACTATAAATTTAATAATTTAGATGAAATAGATTACTTCCTTGAAAAATACAAGTTACCACAACTCACCCAATATGAAACAAATCATTTGAATAAACCTATAACTATTAAGGAGTTGAATTTGGAATTTTTTTAAACTCCCGAAAAGACAAATCTCTAGGCCCAGATATTTTTACTAAAGGATTTTACCAAATGTTTAAAGAAGGATTAATACCAAGTCTATACAGTCTTTTCTGGAAAATAAAAAAGAAGAAACACTTCCCAATTCATTTTATGAAGCTAGTATTCTCCTAATACCAAAACCAAAGAGAATACAAGAAAACTATATACTAGTGTTTCTCATGAACTTTGATGCAAAATCCTCTGAAAGAGTTTTTCAAAGAAATAAGTTTTGAATGCACTTTCAATAGACATCCCACCACCAGAGATAATATCAAGGATGTCTCCAAGATTCAGATTCTGCAAAGCATAAGTTTTCCCCACACCACTGTCTTTTTATAATACACAGTGTGCCACTAAAAATATTTTATTTAAATTTCACAAAAATAACATCAGGTCCAATATTTGGATGACCGACAAAGGTTTAAGACCAATAATTTAGAAATTGGCCTCACTTAAACAGAACTAGATTATCTTACAATCCTTTCTTACATAAAGATGTACTCTTTAGCCATATTCCCTTAACATCTATCTTCTTCTGTTCTCCCTTCACTGTAGGGGAATTTACTGTTCCAGTAGTCTCTATCATTCTACAAATCAGAAAAAGCAAGGCATTGGCCTCTCCCATCTCTTACTGCAAGGGGTGAGGTGGGGGGGTAGAATGGAAAATAGAGAAGATGAGGGCAAAGCTATAAAATTAGAGTCAAGTTGAGAAAATAATACCAGTGAGGAAAGAATAAGGCCATTCCACAGCAGGGAACAGTATTTTTAGAATGCTTACCTGAATGGTAGTTATTCAATATAAGTGAAAGTCTGAACAAACTATAATGCAAGACTTGTTTAATCAAAGTATAATCAACTCTCCTGAAATAGGATTTTTACTTAGAACTTTCTGTTCTTAATTAAGGGAAGCATCCTTGGCTAGTGGTTTGTCATTGTTGATCTCACACCCACTCTTGACCCCACCTCACCTGCAGAATATAGCGAATTTGCTGTTTTGTAAACTCTGACAATCCTTTAGGAATCAAGGATTCAATGTCTTCTGACTGTAAGAAAAGAAGTTTATCCATTTAACAGATGCATATTAGTATTATAATCTTAGGGTCAGTAGTTCACAGACTTCTGTGCAGCAGAGCATATTTTTAGGAACATCAAAAGATTATTTCATTTTCTGGGCAATAGTTGCTACCAACTTCATTTCTAGCCTTATCAGTTCTTACTTTTAAAAAATTGATTATACCATATACACTATGGAAAGAACCTTGAATTCCAGGCATTTTAGGGAACAGCTTTGTGCAACCAACCAGATGTTCCATTTTTACTTTTTTAAAAGAGTAATTTAAAAAAGAAGATGGTTCTCAAATCCCATTAAACACTTTATTTCAGTGTATCTTTCAAAAACTGGAAGCTTTGCTGGGTGGTTAATATGACATTTTCAAGGTTGATTTTTTTAAATAACGAAAATTTGGGGAAATAAAATTAAGAGCTTATTGAGGATTTATATTGAGCTATGATAACTTCTGAAAAATTAAGATGTTGCCACAACAACACTGAGAAGCTTTAACTAGTTTTTTTTGGCTTGAAGAAACACAGATTTATTATCTCATAGATCTAGAGATTGGAAGTCAGTGGGCTAAAATTAATGTATCAGCAGGACTGCATTCTTTTGGTGGGCTCTAGGGGAGAATCTATTTCATTGCTTTTTTGTTTCTACAGGCTGCATGAATTCCTTGGCTGGTGGCCTCATCACTCCAACCTTGGCTTCTCTTGGCAGATTTAACTCTGACCTCCTGCCTCCCTCTTTTAAGGACCCTTAGTGATTACATTGGATCCACCCACATAATCCAGGATAATCTCCTTACTTTAAGATCCTTAATTTAGTCACATTTGCAAAGTCCCTTTTGCCATGTTAAAGTAACATATTCAAAGGTTTCGGGGATTAGGATGTGGACATCTTTGGGAGGCCATTATTCTGTCTTCCACATCATCTTATTGCCCTCATTCTGAAGCTCATATCCATACAGTTCCCTTTGTGAAGTCTAGATCCAAAAGAGGGAGATTCTAATAGAGGCAGGGTCTCCCTCTCCACCTGCCCAAGACCCTCCTCCTTGGATGACTGACCAAGAATCCACTTCCTCAGAGCATATCTTGCCCTCTTCCACAGGGGGTGACCTTTCTCTATGGCTGTTGCAAGACAAGTTCATTACAATACCATCCAGTACCCCTGACTTCAGTACCCCTCCCTCAAACCATAGAAGAATGATATCCTTACAAAAACACAGAGAGCTGGCCTCCTGGGTGGCTCAGGCAGTTAAGTGTCTGACTCTTGATTTTGTCTCAAGTCATGATCTCGGGGTCCTACAATCAAGCCCCACCTTAGTCTCAGTGCTGAGTGTGGAGCCTGCTTAAGATTCTCTCTTTCCCTCTCCCTCTGCCCCTACCCCTACTCACACACACACTCTCTCTCTCAAGTAAATAAATAAATCTTAAAAAAAAAAAAACAGAGAGGAAAGTACTGAAGCTAAGGTACTTCAGACACTTATCTCCCCAAATCCCATGCCTAGCCCACCAAGCATCATTGTCTTCTTTTTTTTTTTATTCAAGTGTAATTAACATGCAGTTATATTAGTTTCAGGTGTACAATATGATTCAACAACTGTATACATTTCTCAGTGCTTATCAAATTAAGTGTACTTTAAGCCTCTTTATCTATTTTATCCATCACCCCACTGACCTCTCCTCTGGTGAGAAGCTTCAACTAATTTTAAGTGAGAAGCAATTCAGTACTTCTTAATGGCAATCTAGGGCTTTCTGAATTATTGTAATGAATACAGTATATCAATGCACTGGAAATAAAAAAATAACACAAAAAGGCCACTGTGCTTTTTTATTACATTGAAATCAGTTTTCCCTATTTGATGACTTATTCCATTAAAAGTAATTATTAACAAAATGTGCATATATAATAGAATTAATACTTGAAAAAAATGTACTTTAAGTTGCTGTCTATTTGGCATGGGTCATATAAGGTTTCAAAATGCACTAAAACTAAATTTGCTATTTATTTAGTTAATGTAGGTTTCAATTTTCTAAAGCAAAGAGTATTTGGTCAATGAAATTTTAAATGTTTTGATAAACAAAGACAAATTAAATCATAAATGACAACTGATAAAACATTTTTGCATGAATAATTATTACTCTTATTATTATTTTAAATATCTATTTATTTTAAAGGGCATGCCAGAGAAAGACAGTGGAGGGGAGGGGCAGAGGGAGAAGGAGAGAAAGAACTTCAAGCAGATGCCACACTGAGCATGGAGCCCAACGTGGCTCTCAATTCCACAACCCTAAGATCATGACCTGAGCTGAAATCAAGAGTTCGAAGCTCAACTAACTGAGCCACCCAGGCTCCCCAATGATTATTACTTTTTATAGCCATTACAAATATATAAATAGTTTTATCATTTTAAAGGCAAAATCATCATCATGTTTTTCACTAATCTCTGTTTCCAGTCTAATATAGGTACCAAACTAAAACAATATCATTAGTGAAAATGTCAGAATCTGCTTTGTTATCAACTATATTTGATTTTCAACTATTTTTGCACTTACCTCAGCTGTAGACTCAAAGTCCTCTTTGCTGTAAGAGTGAAAAAAAAGGATAGACAACTTAAGAAAATGTATATAATGATCATATATAAATGTTAGTGTTCAAATTATATTATCTTACTTTTTGATATATCATAATAGCAACATTTAAATTTATAATTCAAATAAATTTTAAACTAACTAAAATGGAATTGACAAAAATAAAGATAATTTTCCTGGAACTAGCTAATCTATTAAAATGAATAATATCAAAATAACAAACCAAAAGAATATAAAGAATCAGTTACTGCCATCCATTAGCACCTGTTCATTTGTGGATAGATGTACAAGTCCTTGGCACTGGCCATAAGTGCTACCTGAGTGAATTAATAACAATAATAGTTGTTCTCTATTTCCACCTCCCTCCTGTATTGCTTACTTTCAGTGCTGAGTCCAGCTTCTCTCCATAGAGTCTTCAAGTTATTCATACCCTTTTCATCAAAATCAAAACTTGCAAGACAAGGCTAACTCATTCAATCTACACTACACTATATGGCAGTGACAAAACTTAAAATGTATTTGAATGTTTACATAGGGACAGGGCCTTAAGCAACATGACCAAAATTCTAGTGGGATAATAGAACTTCTAGCATCAAAATGGATGTTTGGGCACCAGGGTTGGAAGACCCTTTGTGATGCCATGTTAGGTAGGCAAATGCTGCAAAAGAATTGTTAGTGATTATGCCAGTCTGCCACTTGCTCCTTTGGGGAATAATGAAAGTGGAAAAGGGTATAGTTCTAGAGTCAGTGGCAAGAGACAGGCCTTTATTTCTGCCTACTTGCTCCATCTGTGCTTAATTGAAGAACTGGGTACAAAATATATGGTGAATATACCTCTCAAATAAAAACACAGTAACACATGTCCTGACAGCAAGGCAGAATATTTTAAAGATGGTCATATAAAATCAGAGGTATATGAGTGCCACATCTTCAGTATAAGAAAAAAGTATTTTAGAGATATGTTAGGACATTAGCTCCTACCTTTACCTTCTAAGTAAGTGCTTATGAGTAATATATTGCTTACAGAGATAAGAGGGTCACTCACTGTACAAAACATCTTGCATACGTTTAAAAAAAAGACTAATGTGGAAGAAGATAACTGAAGATTCAATTTCCTGAAGCATGACTACATATTTGCTGTTGTTTGTATGTATGTATGTGACATTTCCTGTGTTGCCCAAAATAGAAATTGTGGAAAGGCCCTAGAAATATAAATAAATAAATAAATAAATAAAATATCATGTACTTTTTGAATGCTTTATTAAAGTAATGGCATGCATATACTGGGAGTGACAACAAGTTAAAAATAATAATCAATGCAGTTTTAGTCATCTTTCATTACTATTAACTGGAATTATTACAGTATTAATGGACCTTTCTGTTAAAAATTCCACTTCCCAAGCCAACCTAGTACATGTGTCCCTAGTCATTTCTTTCTACAAATAAGAAAACAAAACAAACAAATAAAGCAAGGAACAATCAACAGCACTTAATACTGCAATGTTTTAAAGTAACCAGAATGGTTTTGTGAGACAACTTTCCTTAATTCTGACCCTGAACCCACTCATTGCTTAATTGTAACATAGAAAAAGAAGAAAAGTGGGGACAAAAGGAGAGGACAAAAGAGGGGACAAAAGAGAGAGAGTGAGAACAAAGACAGCAGAGCAAGGAGGTGGAGAGGTCAATGTGAATTACATCTCCAACCTCACCAGGGGATGGTGGCTAGAATTACAATGGGCAGAAAACAACAACAACAACAACAACAACAACAAAAAACCCACAAAAAAACCAAAACAAAAAACAGTGGCAAGAGAGGAGGAGAACATGGCAGCAGAGTAGGAAGACCCTAGGTTCCTCAATTCCCATGAACACAACTAGAGTACTAGCAAATCATCCTAAACATCCTAGAAATTGACCTGAAGACTGACAGAACAAACTTCACAACTAAAGGGAGACAAGAGGCCACATCAAAGAAAGTAGGAAGTATGGAGATGTGGTTTAAGGGAAAAACAGATTCTGGGTGCTGTGAAGGGGAGAGCCATGGTCACGGAGAATGGTGAGAGAGAGAGAGAGAGGAGCACACAGGGAAACCCACATGGAGAATGTTTTCCCAAAGCCATTGGCTTGGCCAATGAGAAGGGCTGAATTTAGTTAGACCTTGCAACCAGCAGGGCTTAAAGCCTGGTTTTAAAGGACAGCAGGTTTGGCTGAGATAGAGCCCTGAGAGCACTGCTCTGCTCCTGGAGAGAAGGCAGGCAAACAACCTGGGGGCAGATGGTATGGCAACAAAGATCTGAAGTATGCCTCAGGCACACAGTGGAGAGATTATACACTGCTCTCAGAGCACGTCGTCGCTGAGAGGCAGCTTTCACAGAGGCCTCTCTGAGAAGAAAGGAGCTGGCTGGCAACATTTTCTACCCCGACCCCAGCATAAACAGAGAGCCACCTGTAGTAAGCAGTTCAGTGGGGACACTGGCTGCCTAACTTGCTTATACCAATCCTACCTGCCTGTGCTTTGGTGGGACTGCCCTTCTAAGTCAAGCATACCTCAGTACCAACACAGTGGGCCCCTCCTCCAGAAGACCTGCCAAACCCCTGCTCACACTAGATCTGCAGGGCCTCAGTCCTGGTAAAGTTAGTGTCAGGTCTCATTTCACAAGCAGACCAGATCACACTGAGTAAAAACTCACCACATTCAGGCCAGGTACCAAACACTGCTCACAGCAGGCAAGGAGAGCCTAGGCAGATGACTGACCTGAAGGATACCACAGCCAAAATATCACCACAGAGTGCACACAGCACATATGAGAGACACTCCCTGAAGTGCCAGGCTCTGGGCACTAGAAAACCTCTTCCTCAGAAGGACATTAATTTCAGGAGCAGGAGACATAACCAGCTTTTCTAACACAAAGAAGAAGGCAGACACTAAGACAAAATGCCAAGACAGAGAAACTTATCCCAAATGAAGGAACAAGATAAGGCCACAGTTGTAGATCTAAGTGAAACAGATATAAGCAACAGGCCTGGTGGAGAATTTAAAGCAACATTCATAAGGATACTCACTGGGCTTCAGAAAAGAATGCAAGACATCAGTGAGACCCTTATCACAGAGATAAAAAAGTCAAAAAAGAATCAGTCAGAGATCAATAATGCAATAAATGAGATTGGAAACAAACTTGATGCAATCAACAGCAGGCTGTAAGAAGCAGGGGAATGAATCAGTGACCCAGCAGATGAAATAATGGAAAATAATGAAGCTGAACAAAAGAGAGAAAGAAGAATTAATGTAATATGAGAATAGACTTAGGAAACTCAATGACTCCATCAAATGTAATAACATTCATATTATAGGAGTCACAGAAAAAAAAGAGAGAGAAAAGGGGGCAGAAAACTTATTTGAAGAAATAATAGCTGAAAGTTTCCTTAATCTGCAGAAACAGACATCCTGATCCAGGAGGCACAGAGAACTCCTATCAAAATCATCAAAAGCAGGCCAACACCAAGACATATTGTAATTAAATTTGCAAAATATAGTGAAAAAGAAAACATCTTAAAAGCAACAAGACAGAAGTCCTTAATATACAAGGGAAGACCCATAAGTCTAGCTGCAGTTTTCTCAACAGAAACTTGGCAAGCCAGAAGAGAGTAGCATGATATATTCAAAGTGCTGAAGGGGACAAATCTGCAGTCAAGAATATTCTATCCAGCAAGGCTAACATGCAGAATAGGAGAGATATCTTCCCAGACAAACAAAAACTAAAGGAGTTCATGACCACTAAACCAGCTCTGCAAGGAATATTCAAGGGGACTCTGAGTGCAAAGGAGAGACCAACAGTGACAAACACAAGAAAGAATGAGAGAAAATCTCCAGAAACAATGACAAAAAAGTAATAAATGCATATGAACCAATAATTATTTTGAATGTAAATGGACTAAATGCTCCAGTCAAAAGACATAAGTGTCAGAATGGATTAAAAAACAAGACCCATCTATATGCTTCCTACAAAAGACCTATTTTAGACCTAAAGACACCTGTAGATTTAAAGTGAAGGGATGGGGGGCCTGGGTGGCTCAGTTGGTTAAGCGTCTGCCTTTGGCTCAGGTCATGATCCCAGGGTCCTGGGATTGAGCCCCGCATCAGGTTCCCTGCTTGGCGGGGAGCCTGCTTCTCCCTCTTCCCTTACTCGTGCTCTCTCTCTTTCAAATAAATAAATAAAATCTTTAAAAAAAAAAAAAAGGAAAGTGAAGGGATGGAGAAACATTTATCATACAAATGGATGTCTAAAGAAAGCCTGAGGAACAATACTTATATCACACAATCTAGACCTTAAAACAAGGACTGTAACAAGAGACAAAGAGGGGCTATATAATCATAAAGGGAAAAATCCAACAAGAAGATATAATAATTGTAAATATTTATGCACCCAACATGGGAGCACCCAAATACATAAAACAGATAATAACTAACATAAAGAAACTAATGGATAATAATACAATAATAGTAGGGAACTTTAACACCCCACTTACATCAATGGACAGATAATCCAAACAAAAAATCAACAAGAAAACAATGGCTTTGAATGACACACTGGACCAGATGGACTTAACAGATATATTCAGAACATTCCAACCTAAAACATGAGAATACACATTCTTTTCAAGTGCACGTAGGACATTCTCCAGAAGAGATCACATATTAGGTCACAAAACTGGCCCCAACAAATACATAAATTTGCAATCATACCATGCACCTTTTCTGACCACAACACTAGGAAAAAGACATCAACCACAAGAGAAAACTTGGAAAACCACAAATACATGGAGCTTAAGCAAAATGTTACTAAACAATGAATCAGACAAACAGGAAATCAAAGAAAAAAAATCCATGGAAACAAATGAAAATGAAAACAAAATTGTCCAAAACCTTTGGTATGCAGCAAAAGTGATCCAAAAGGGAAATATATAGCAATACAGGCCTACCTCAAGAAGCAA